CATTAGCACAGTTCTTATCAGGTTGGCTGGTAATTCTGAGAAATGCTGGATTAAAGAAAGAGGAGCTGATGGAGTCTTGGTGTTCATCTTAAATATAGCTCCATCTGAGAAAGGTACACTTAGGTTGTCTCTTTGTGCCTTGCTCTACAACACATGAACTGAAACAACAAATGGTGGCTCTCCTGATTTGTAATTACTTCAAGTAGAAATGTGAAAATTCTAAACACAGCAAAGTTCAGAAGCAGGTTTATTATCTTTTAACATTTGCTTCTGCACGAGTTCTTTCAGTGCAGTGTGGTTATTTTATTCCAGAGCACATCCCTGAAAATTATAATGCATTTATGCTCAAAAGTTCCCCACTCACTGGATTCACTGGTTTATCAACTCCTAGAAGTGTTTTTTTTTTTTCAAAAAGGAAACCCAGCTTTCTTCAAATGATACTTTCCAGTAATACTTCACTTTTATTTTTCATACAGTAAGCTGCTCTGCAATACTGTGCAATTTAAATGCATTATCCTCTCACTAATCTGTTTTACCATAGAGTGAGCTGGTGAAGAACTGTTTTCAGGTTTTATTTTTCATTAGTWATCCTCCTAGAACTGAGCAGGTGGCCCAGTTCTACATTTAACTTCCACACTTATRGTCTCTCAGGTATAGCTGAATTAATATAAATACATATATATTATTTTGTTTGTTTTGTTTTTACAATTGGTGAAGCATTTCAAGAACCAAACCAGTTAAATACATGATCAAGACTGAGCCTATGGGGTTGACAATCATCTAAAGCCAAAACAAGACAAAGCAAYGTGAAACTAAAATACCTAGTTAGGCTTTTGCAAAAACATAAAACAAATGTTAGTTTGCTGAGTGCTTTTTTTGTGTACTGTTGGCACTCTCTTTTTATTTGCTTAAAGAGCAACTGGGTATAATTTAGGGATGTTAAAAGCTGTGAAAACTAGCATTTACTCTCAGTGAAAAATAGAAACTGAGTCATCTCTTGCAAGCATGAAGACACTCTGTGAGCTGAACAGGAGAGTTGATATTGGGATGTTGTGTTTTGACATAAAATAAGATTTTAATAAATAATGATCAGCTTGTAAATAACTTTTCTTTTTCATGCAAAAAGCTAAACTTGTGTTCTGCATAGTCCTTTATATATATANATATATATATGTAGATATATAGGCTCAACTGTAGCCTATATATAATAGGCTACAGTTCACACACATTTCTCTGCGAAAAGATTTGACTGGAAGGTCAACAAATAGTTGTGAGACGCAAGGATAATTTTAAAAACCAACAGATTAACAGCAAATCAAAAATGTCCYCTCCATTTATCTACAGTCCACATTTGTGTGATCTTTAAATTTTGCATTTATCCCATGAGTTCAATAATATTTAAGCACGACTGGCCAGGTAAAAGTTTAGGTGTGCAACAACTGGTCTGTGAGAAAAGTGTTCCCGAAACAAAACTAYGTATGTTAATTTATTTGTGCCTAACAGATTTTTTCTTAGTTGCATACAGACAGTTTGTTGCCATGGAGGCAGCCAGTTTTTTCCCATGCCCCTGTTTTGCCATGCTTTACAGGTCGGGCTCCAGATGGACAAACCAAACCTAAAGTACAGTCTAGCTTCAAATGCCAGGGTTATTATATTTTAGCTCCAAAACAGATAAGTAGAACAAATTGCCTCTCATCCAAAATAATGGTTTGTAATTATTTGCTGGGATAAAAGGTGGTTCTGGGTGCACGAAAAGGTGCTGGAAGGCTTTTCTGTCTTCATGGCAAACGGTCCATTGATCTATCTGGATGCAATCTCACTGGGCAGAGGTGAAAACAACTATGCAATAACAAGTTTTCTTCTGGCTCATTTTGAGTCAAACTTTGAGAAACTTCATATAAAGTTTGTAATGAGTAAGAATGAGCTGCAGCACTTTACAGCTCTGCCCTGCAGGACTGTGCAACAACTCTTATTGTCCTTTCAAAGGTTTTAGAAAGCTCAGTGGGAAATACGCAGGTTAAGGCTGCATCGCACTACGAGATTTTAAAACAGTCGGCCGATTTTCAAAGAMTGAGAGAGCCCACACCTGAGGATAAAAAAATCATGGATCTACCAGTTTTGGTCCTACTGTGTGTGGTGTACAGTCACACGGAAAGAGACAACACACCACACACAAAATGATATTTCATTCATGAACATTCAGATATATTAAATCTTGCGACACTTCCTGAAATCGTGCAAGAATTTATATGTCTGAGGAAAAATCTCACGTGACTTCCAGAGAGACGTGAGTTCAGAGTAAATAAACATTTGCAACGAGGAAGAAACAATGTTGATAGTTTGTGGACTATTTTCACCAGAGGAAAAACAACTCCATAGGACTTTTAAAGGGGCAATATCATGTAAAATCAATTTTGAATTTTATATCATGTTATAATGTTACACTCTAATAAAAAAACATGCCCAAAGCCTTGCTTTGACTCATTCATGCATGTTTGAGAAATYCTGCAGCGTTTAAATGCATCATCAGGAAGTTTCTAGAAATGACTTTTGTGTGTCTTAAACTATAGTTTTTAAACATTAAAAATTTGATTTAGTAAAAGAACATTCATAACATGTAAACCAAAACGTATAAGACATTTAACCTCTGTAAACTAGAGMAAGTCTTCCTTAAAAGTTACGTTTGTCCTGAATCCCATGAACCTCACTGCAGCTAAGGATATCCAGATGACACCTTGAGTTGGCAGATGACAGACGACCTCAGGGCCACTCTCACAAATAAATCAACTGATCCGGCAAACAGCACCTTTCTTAAAATCTCCTCCTGCCACTCAGCTCCAACTCATGCGTCTTTATTATCTGTATGAGAGCTGGAAATCAATGTGCAATCATATTCACACTGTCTTTGGCTACAGACATTAGGGGCACACATGGGCATGCATTCTGATAATTTCGGTTCTTTGTTTTGAATCCACAGAGGCCTGATTCATAATCTGTGTAGCGCTCATCAGAGCTGACTCATTTTCAATCAATTAGCGGCACAGGAGATTTAGCTAGTGCAGAGATTTTGTTGTGTTCTTTTTTCTCTCTTCATAGTTTGAAACAGAGAGCRAATTTCTGAAGCTTTATCCCCCTCTGCAGTCGCTGCAGCATGCCTCTGAGCCAAAGTATCAAACAGATTCATGATCAGAACAGATTTTCTTTCATGTTCAACTGAATATTTGAAGCTGATTGGATTTCCCAAAGAATTAYGGCTACATATTGATGTCATAATCTAGACATTCAGAATGAGATGTACTGGTTTTATTTCAGCYAGGACAGAGCGCACTGTGCTGCAGTTACAAGTTAGTGATGGACAGAAAATAAACATACAATGTGCAGAAGGCAAAACTTTTTTTCAGCACAACAGCTACTTCCAGCAGGTCATATTCTAATATTCAGATTGTAAACAGCATTAATTATTCATTTGAGGACATCTTTGTACACAGCACAGCCACATCAGCAGAAAATACAAGCTTTTCATGGTTGCTGTTCTTGTGTTTGATCCAGGTAACCTTAATGATTTCACTGCTTTCGTCTGCACAACCTAAAGAAAGCAACATGCATGTTTGGACAATGCACTAAGAGCTGCCTAAAAGCTCTCAAGTTGCACATCTTGTAGCATCTGAATTGGGTGATGTGGGRAAAAAAACAGCTCCAGCAGTTCCTACAGATCACAGCCATTAAGTATTCATTTCTTTTTTTTATCCCTTCTGAAAAATGCCAGTGAAATGTGTGGCGACAGCAGCTCTCCCATCTCAATTATTCAAAACAGACCAAACGACACACATAAAGACTTGGGCACAATTATGCACACAACAATTTCTTTGTTCCCCAGATTGCCCACATTTTAAAATTCTGATCCGTATTGTTTTCTTTTCTCATTTTTCTTCAAGATTTTGAACAATGTACAATTTTATTGCACCTTTGTTTTTCTTAGAAGTTACTAAATGATAGAAAGAACGTTSTAGGATCCAGGCACACATGTAAGTTGGATTAACTGGTCTAAAAAATAATTATAGGCAGTTAAGCCTATTTTGTTAATTATATAAATTTTAATAAGTGCAGAAGAAATTTTCCCTTGCCAGCATATAAGGATAAATGACTGGAAATTTTTGGAGGGCTAGACATTCCAAAATAAAAAGGGAAAAAAAATCATTTTATTTCATTTATACTGAGTATAAATGCCATAATCTAGTTCCTGTCATTAGTTGGTACAAACATGCTCACACAAGAAGAATCATACAGTATTTATTGAGCTTCATGAAAGTGAACTTCTTCGGGAGGAAGGGGGTATATCATTTTAAATAATAATTAGAATTAATGGAAATTATACTGTTGCTATATCTCAATTTAGTTCCACCGTTAAAACCTAAAGCATCAATTCTGAGCCAAAACCTAACGTACAACTAGACACACAGGACGAGCATTAGTCATATCAAGTCCAATATCTTCCTGTCATTGTTATTTTTTCCATTTCACCCAACATTCCAACCGTCTGGTCTCAGAATGTGCAGCTCATCACAKAGAAAAACATCTATGAAAATATATAGCCCCTTCCATTTCACCATCACCTGAGGAGATGAGTTAATACAGCATGAAAATAAATGATGCTGAAGGATGGAGAGGAGTGAAGGCAGGAGCCCAAATCATAGAAGAACTGAAGAAAAATCAAATCTGAACAGAGCTGCTTTATTGCGTTGTGGCTGAACTTCCTGTTATTGACAGTTTTCTTACAAATTCCTGTATTTTTGTGTTTTCTGAGGTGCTTTGATCAAATATGTGTCATAATGTTTCAAAACAAAACACACCACAAGCTTTCAAAGACACCAGTAAAACCACTAAACTCTGATGGATGCCATGATTAGAACATTTAGACTAATGACATGCCACAGACTGAGAACGTTCACTAAAATATGAAATTCCCTTCCAACGGGGGAATGTGATACCTTCATTCTTACCTTCCTCCCAACCCTGTGGACTTCCTGCGKTCTTCTCAATTTTCCCTTCATCCTGCAGGTCACCGGCTGCCACTATTCTCCAGGTAAACTCTGGGACATCCTCAGACTGCTGGTCACATGTCCTTCTGTTTCCAGGGCATTGGTGATCTATTGGAATAAAACACATTCATWTTTAGATGAAATACAAATTAATACTTCCTTGGTAGAATTATTATTAAACATTTAATCTTARTATAGAGTCGACTGGGACATAGAAGTGATGTCAGGAACGATTGGTCTGAAAACCAGTAAAAATACTGTAAATTAAAGTTCCCCTGTTAAACACAATTTAATTGCATTTACAAACAGAGAGGAAACAAAGTGGATTTAAATTAGAAAAATGAATAACTACTGAACTATGTACGTTTAATCTTTTTGACTGAAAATCCAAAGCTAAAGTATTTTAAAGCTGGTTTACATAAAAAAAACATAAAAACAGATTCAGTTGCTCTCAAGGCTGCAAACTATCACGACAKACAACAGTTAGAATTTCTCCTTTTGTGAACACCTGAACAGGACCATTTARTCCCTGAAGGAAGCAGGGTTTGGTCACAATGCCATTAAAATAAAAAAATAAAATAAAAAATAAAAAAACACTGCTTGTAAACAGAAAAGTGAAAATCTGTAACAATTTTTACAGGCGAAACAAAGTCGTGTAAATTAAACTTGAACTCAGGCATGTAAGAATATAACAAATTAAATTTGAAAACCAAGAAAACTGAAGCTTGTTCATGCATTTTAATTGTTTTAAATTCAGCTCAGACCCCCCCTCAAATCAGCTTCCTCTCTGTCAAAATGTTTCTTAAAGGCTTTTTCCTGGAATCCATCCCCAACGAGTTTTACTTATTCAGTTGTTTACTGTCTAAAGTGTGAATTTTTATTGTACCAACTGGGGTTTGCAGAGTCTGAGCTGTGGTTCTTGTGTTGTTTTTGATAATTTCTGAGCTTTGCACAGGCTGAACTCAATGTGAACTTACTGGAACAAGATTGGCAGCTGGCCTGAATGTTTTCCATGTGAATAATCTTTATCTGTAGAATGATGGACTTCACATCATTTAGATATGACCTTTAAGACTTTTCATAATGATGAGCAGCAGCTGTTACTTCTCCAAGATTATTGCTGATACGTTTAATTTTAATACAGCTTTAAAGTCCCACAGAAGCAGAGAAAATGTATCATTTCATATTCAGCATTTATGAATTGTCGTTTCAAAATTACTTATTTTGCTCATTTGAAGTTCCATTTATCTAAATTTAGAAAGCACTGAGGGAATGAAACAAAAAAAAAAAACTCAACTGAAAGCCTTCACATCTTGAGATTTATTAAATATTTAGATTTATTTTTTTTATTAAAAATGTTTTTCTTTGCCATATCACTTTCAGAAACATGGACTTAAAGTGCTTATGACATGCCTATCCTTTAAATACAAAACGTCAAAGAAAAATACCTTCATTTTTAAGAAAATTGGCATAAAACATGATTTAACCATTTTGTCACATAACTGGCATATTTTCCTTAGAATATGGCTTGTCTAAAGTGAAACAGGAAGTGACATCAAAGGAGAACTCTTTAAGAAATAAAACTCCATTTTTTGTTTATTGAAATATTTTTTTTATCTCTGACTTGTCTTCATCTCTCTTTTATAGGGACTAAAATTACCTAAAAAAATCAAAAAATTCCCAGCTGTCTGTGTTGTAGCTGTTGTRGCAAAGTTTTGTTTACATGCAGACATTCCCCTTTGACATCACTTCCTGTTACTTCACATGCAAATATCTCAACAACTGTTCAGCTCAGTGGTGTGAAATTGCTTTTGCAATATGTTATCCATGTTTTCTGTCCAAAAGTGCTATCACATTTATCACAAAAATTTGATGTCACAGACACTTTAAARCACATTTTCTTGTGGCAGTAATAGAATAAATTATTGCTTAAAAACAAAAATTAAGTGTCTTTGATTCCCTGTTTGCAGAGCTCATCCCTGTGGTTTGCTAAATCACTTCAGAGACATCGTGGTCACATTTAAACGACTTCTCACACTAAGACACTGCAGGGGACGAACTCAAGTGTTGTGCAGTAAGGTCACAGGCATCGTTAGACTTTGACCACCAGCAGGAAAAAGTTGAATAATGAGAACTCCCTGATGCTGACAGTAAARCGCTAAACATAATTAACTTTTTACGCAGCTTGCATTGCAAAAACAAGATCATAATCCTTGTTTTTTATTTAAATTTATTTTTATGAGACTCAAATGTACTCAATTTATGACTGATGGTTATTTGTCACGAACACTTGTCATGTAAAGCTCTTCTGTAATTATCTTCTATTTAAAGTTGAATGATGATGTAATGCGGCATGAAATCACACTGTCAAAAACAACATTTATTTACTTAGCATTTTGCTAATTCAAAATGCACTCAGACGACTTTAGTTTGACCAAATGAGTATTTTTCAACAGAGTGGCTGATTCAGGATGTATGTTTTAGCTCTGCATCGCCTACAAAATGAAAACAGTTTAATGGGTCGCGCCATCCACAGTTTGGATCTGAGGTCAGGTTCAGCAGGAGCTGTATGTGAAAACACTGCATACATTTAAGTGTGTAAGTTCACTCGTTAGTTAAAAGCTGACTTTGGCAAAAATATTTTAGTTTAAAACGTCCGATTCAGCTATCTTTGGTTGTGAAAAAGTTCAGAATCCCTAACTCATATTAATGCCAAAAAAGATTTTTGGAGAAAGGAGTCTGTGAGCTGAGATGATGATCTAAAAGTTTTAAAAGCGGCTTTAATTAATGAGGTTGCACCGAGGCTTTATGGGCGTGCCCTTAAATCACAGCACAACCCACCTGAGTCTTTACAAAAAATTAAAAAAAAAAACACAACAGGAGACCTTCCAAAGCACTTAGTGCCATGAACCGTAAATCTTTTTATACTTAAAGCTTGTCATTTGGCAAAAAAACACACTGATTGCTCCAGCTCATCAAAGCCAGTGACCTTAAGAGTTGATGAGGTATGGAGAAAAAGAAAAGTTCACAGTTGCAGTAAAGGCTTTCTCCCCCTCCTCTTTCTTTCTTTTCTTTAGTAAATGTCCGTGTCGTAGAATGAGAGTGTCCAGTTGTAGAAGGCTTTATTCTTGTACCGAGCAGAGTGAAGCGGTTGTTCTGCCTCAAGTAGATAAAGACAAGCACATTCAATTTCAGTTTACACTGATTGAAACACCCACCAGAGTCTGACCAGCTGCAGTAATCACAGGCCTGCATAGTGCTGCAGAGTGCGACGGCTTCCACAATACAACTCAACTTGACTTTAGGAAATGTTCTTCTATCATGTGATTGCTGCTTCTTAAAAAAAAAAGAAGCAAGAAAGAAAAACTGAAGTGGTATCATTGGGCCACATGCAAGAACCGTTCGTACGCACAGATTTGTTCTTAAGTTGTGCGTACGAGTGATTTAGGAG